CCGGTAATCCGGTTCGCGATCCTCGAGGATATTCACATCACCATCAGGTTGAGAGACATGGTGAACAACCGAGACCACGTCACTACACGTTCCGAATCGGATGAGGAAGATCCCAACATGTTTTTGAGACTGCCTAGCATTTGCCTCTACGAAAGCCCCTCTGTACCGGTCGCAGACTTGGAGGACTGGTATACTACACTGCCCGCCGTCCTCGAAGACAAAGTAGATCGTGTCGACGCCGAATGGTGGTGGGACAGAGACACTGGAATAGCTAGGGTGTCTCCTTTGTTGGGAAAATTCATGCATAGCTTCCCCCGGGCAACGCATTTCACCATCACGCCGCGTCTACCTTTCATGCTGAGTGCGCAACCCGCCACACCAGGCATTGTGGACAGCAAACACCGCGTGCAAAAGCTTGGGGCTGTGGAAGAAGAACTTGAGATCTTGAAGCTGAGGGAGGCGGACAGATATAAATATCTACAACGCCGCCTGATGTCTCTATGGGAGCAGGAGGGTTGGATCACGATGGCGGCCTACGCGACGAAGGACTTCCCATTACCCATATTCGAGTTCAAACATAAGGTGAGAAACCCGCGTGGCGATCCATGTTATCTCGTAAAGACTCATTGAGATTGATTCGATGCTAATGGTATATAGAGAACATCACTTTATGGGTATCGCAAATAGCTATCTGTTGCGGTGGTCTAAATATTGCGTGGGAGGAGGTGGGAGAAGACTCAAGGAAATGGCCGCCAGTTGGACGAGATGCGTACAACTTGGGCAATCGCTAATATTGTAATTAAGCTGTGAATATCAAGACGGGAACTATTGTCTTGGTCCATCCCTCAAGACTTTCGCAATGATCAAGTCACCTACCGCGCAAGTGAAACTTCCGGACCTATATCGGGAAACCTGTATGATGTTTTCGCCTCATGTATGGGCCCAGCTGGCAGGTTTGTTTACTGACAATTCTCCCATAATAAAATCCCCACGATGGGTGTGCTAGAAACCCTCCCCGCGTAACGTGATTCGTAGTGAAATTCAAAGGATTAATAGATCATGAACTCTGCAATTCCCAGTAACACATTGCAAGAGGCTAGTGGGTGTTTCTCAACGCAAGGTGAAGGTTCCAGTCATATCAGCAATTCATATCTTCCGTCCCAGGTGACTGAAATTCGTGAAACAATATCACGGATTTTCGTACATCCAGGTGTTTGCCGTGTATGATGGTCACACTTTTCCAGAGAACTAAAATACAGCAACTTGAGTCCACTAATAATTATCAGACCGTAAGCACCTTGATGGTATTTTCCATCTCCGATGCGCCTGTACTACTGTATATCAGTCGTGACATTCACCAAAGCTCAGAGTACCATGACCAACATACAATCCTGCCCTCGACAGCCAACACTTGATCGCCATTTATCAAAGTGACTTCAACTACAACATGACAAAATCTATGAAAGGCCAAACTATCGCTACAACAGCAAGCCCTCGTCCGTCGTACCTCGAAGCGTCCCGCGGTAGTGACGACCCCTCTCAATATGGAGGGGCAAGCGATGTGGTCAAATGGGTGGCTATGATGAGAAGACTAACTGGCAGCATCCCCGCAACTCCATTTGCGCCAAAGATTCCTAGCGCATCAACAGTGGAAAACAAATACCCGCCGGAGGTATACCACAGCGTGTTACACGATCATGACGCACTTTCGATAGCGCCATTCGCCAGCATGGTCCCAACACCATGGGGTCATCCAGATGCGATGCGGAAGACACACTTACCAAGGCGCGCCGCCGGTTCTTCCGATTACAATCCTCCACTCGTTCCCGTGCCCGAAGCACTGGATGTAACCAACACACAACGCCTACCCGAACCGAAGATGAAGATGATACAGATCAGTAAACTTCCCTTTGAGATACAAAATGCCATTTTTGAGCTTGGAACATCAATGCTCCTCTATGCAATTAATATGGACGAACGTGACGCCGAAGCTTGCTGCTATCAAGACAGACGGTCTTTCGGGCCTCTCCGAGACAAATTCCTATCTAGCGACGATATTGTGACGGAGATTGCAAATTCATGTCCTCTAGCATATACTTGCCGCCGTTCTCGCGCGGCTGTGTACAAGACGCTGCATCGTTTAATGCAGGCATCAGGCCAAGATAACATTCAAGATCCCCACGCCGGAATCTCAATACTCAAGTACATCCAAGTCACTGTCAGGATTGGCAATCTGGTGGCAAAAGAGGCCATGAAGCGCGAATCGGAAAGCCCTCCGGAGAAACAATGCCGGAATCCGGAGGGGAAACATGGCGGCGACGCCATGTATTGCAATTGTCTAAGGTGCAACGGGAGCATTGAGACAGGGCTAGAAAGGATTGTGGGACTTCGCAGTAGATGGCTTTACGACAACCCACTGATTACAGTCACCGACGTGCGGACTCGGTGTGCTAAGATTCCCCATTATCTCATGGAGTACGTGGACCGTATTGATACTGAATGGTGGTTCAGTAGGCACAAGAACGCATGCGTAGCTCCGGATGTCCTGCGGACGAGCTTCGGTATGATGTTTCATGAGGCGCGTCACATCACGATCACTCCATGCATGCCTCTTATGTCGGCTGCACAGCCCGGCAACAAACTAGATATTGTGAAGGGGAGATATTGGCTCCGAAATTCATGGACCGATCCCGAAGAGATTGCATTGGCGAAACTAAGACAGTGGAAGACATATGACGGCATGGTACAAGGGCTGTGTGAGGACGAAATCGTGTGGGTGCGTTTTGCAAGATTCTTTTATTCTTATCACTTGGAAATGTACGTGACGGAATCCTTTCCGCTTCCAATATTCGAGATTGTAACTACGGAGAAACAGGCGGGATAGATCCTACGTAATTTGCAAAGAGATTCCTGAACGGCGAAGCGACACAACGGACTACGAAGTGTGTGATTGAAATCCGGAACACGATCTTACTTTCATAACGTAATCGTCAAAACAATAATCGCATGATATTCTCGTTGTGACGGCTGGACAGTCTCACATACTTAAATTAAACCCACCCCCATCCACTTTGCGGACTTTGTAAAATAATTCACCGCAAGTCACATTGACCTGGAGCCCAAACGGCTAAAACTAAACATCACCACAGCTCGCCAGGACAAAAAGATGGACGAACAGGGAATCGAACCCTGGACCACTCACATGCTAAGCGAGTATTATACCACTAAACCATTCGCCCAAAGGATGATTTCGCCCGGACTTGAACCGGAGACCTTCAGTGTGTTAGACTGACGTGATAACCAACTACACCACGAAACCATTTGTTGTTGAGGGCCGGTGTGAAAAAAGGGAATTTGACTCTCTCCGGCAAGGTCCTGGAGATGTGTGTGGTGGAGAGAGGGTTGAAGCGAAGCGGATCCAAAGGGGGGTTGAGGTGTGGTGCGGGCCGATGCAGGGTGTCATCCAATGACGGGCTGCCTTAGCGTGGACAGGGAATTTGGGAGAGAGAATCGAGAAAACAACAATCGCGTCTGACTTTCAGATGCGCATTCACTCCAAAGGTCAAGACGTCCGCAGTTGCAAGGCGCAAAGCATCCTTGTGGTGAATTTCGTTCCCTCGGTGCTGCTCTCAAGCTCCGGCGTAGACATACAGCAACCTAACCCGTTGCCATGAGAATTCCATCTCAAACCCAGTGGCAAAGGTCAAGCTGGGCCAATAATCGCGTCAAAACCACCAACCGCGACTCTCAACCCCAACGGCGTTCCAACCGTGTCCAACGCGCCTCACAACCGCAAAGTCGCGATCCAAACAGCCGCATTTCGCAAACGGCGTCGGGGTTGTTTGGCGGCGCGCCGCAGCAGCGAAAATCATTGGCTGCCGCGGGTGCGGGTCGCGGCGGCGGGCGGGGCCGATTTGCGGTCTGGCGGGGCGCACTAGGCCGCGATAGGAAATGAGTAAACAATGGTAGCGATAACAACTCTCAGCACCACAGCTCGATCAACATTGCAAGCGACAAGGGAGAGAGATCACCAGGCCCGTTTAATAGGTCGTGAAACCCGGTGTTGGACGGTCTGACTTGCATCTTTCTTGCATACCACGTCCTGTCATTTGTGAAATTTGTCTGGTCAATTGCATTCGTTTGAGTTCGAAACGGTGGTCACGATGTCTAGCGACGAGCTTCCACTTGCGCTCCGGCGCACGCGTCGAAGCGCAGCCGGAGCTCCCTCCGCTACCTCGGCTTCAGTCGCATCGCCAGTTTCAACACCACACAGGGCATCCAAGAGAAAGGTGCGCTTCTCAGACCCAGGCCCAGTCTCAACACCGCGGACAACATCCCGCCTGTCTTCCACAGGCCTCACCCCCATGATCCGTCGCACAACCCTCAACAAGGGAACCCCAAGCACCTCGCGCCGGCACTCGGCCCCCGTCTCCCGCACACCCTCCGGCAGCGGCGGCGCATCTGCTTCCGACCTCCCGCACAGCGGCGAGGTCCACTTCCTCCCCCTCCGACAGGTCCTCGACGGCCGCGTCCAGCGCCGCATCCGGCGCAACGGCCTCAGCGAGGAGATGAACACCATCACCGCCGAGAAACGCCGGCGCGCGCAAGAGACCAAAGCGGAGATCGACGGCTTGAAGGCGCAGCTCAAGGAGAAGGACGCCGAGATTTACGAGCTGCAGAACGCGACCATCGTGATTGACATGGAGCGCATCTGGGGGCTTGAGAAGGAGGTCGAAACACTGAAAGAGCAGCTGTCGAATCGCTCTGGAGTGAGAGGGCAGAGCTGCTATGACTGGACGCTCGCGGCGAGGGGTCCTTACGTGGATGATTACATGGAGACGGACACCATCGAGGCTGAGTCCGTTGCGGGTGAGAGGATGCTGGCTGATGAGACTGCCTTTGGAGACGCGACGATGGCGGAGTTCGTGTGCAGCACGCCCACGAGGGTGAGGTCTTCGTTCCTCACTCCGCCGCTCACGAGTCCGGTCGCCGAGGGCCCGATGACGCCGTCTTCTCATAGAGGTTCGGTCGCGCCTCCGTCAAATTGCAATGCCGGCGTGCAAACCTCGTTCCGCGACACAGAGAAGGACTCCCTCCAAGAGGAACTCACCTCCCTTCGCGCTGAGATGTCAAAACTCACAAACACCCTCGAATCATACACCTCTCTCACCACCCGCCTCTCAGACCAGCTATCAGCCTTCACCCCCTCCGCCACCGGCGACTCTGAACCCCTACAAACAATCGAAGAGCAAGTCACCCACCTCCTGCGCACAGTCTCAGACCGCACCGCCGCGCTCCTCGACCTCAACAGCTCCCTAAGCGACCTCGGCTTCCCGGGCTCCGACGCCTCCGAAATAATCACCTCCCTCGCCGCCGCCCTCCGCACCGCCCGCCTTGAGCTGGAATACCTCACCCCGGGCGAAATCACCCTCCCCCTCTCCTCCCACGGCGCTGAGGTCCTCGACCTGCTCCTCACCCGCCTCCGCGACCTCGCCAAGCGCGGGAAGGAGGACGAGGCCGCCATCGACGAGTACCACCAGCTCGAGCTCTCCCTGCGGCAGCAGCTCGGCGCGCGCGTCGGCGCGATGGACAGCCTCAACGAGGACCTCGCGCGCGCCAAGGCGCAGCTGGCGCAGAAGGATGCTGCCGCCGCGGAGCTGCGCGTCAGCGTGGACAGGCTGAAGGGCGCGGTGAACGGGTACATCCGCGACGTGATGGAGCTGGAAGCCGTGATTGGCAAGATGGAGGGGGAGAACCGCGACGCGATGGCGACGAAGGATGCGCAGATCGAGGTTGGGCGGCGGGTGCTGCGCAGCAAGGAGGATGTGATTGCGCAATTGGAGACGAAGCTCGCCGACGCCGTAGCGAAGACGAAGGCGTTCCGGAGGAGGCTTGACGAGAGTGAGGAGAGCAAGGCGAAGGAGGTGGCGTCCGTCAACAGGCGCAGTGGCCAGGCTCTGGCGGTGCGCGATGCGCGGGTCGCGGAGCTGAGGGAGGAAGTGGAGAGGGTGAATGAGAGTTTGAGGGCTGCGCATGAGAGCATTAAGAATCTGAGGATCGAGAAGAAGGGGCTCGAGGGGAAGATGGCGGAGGAGAGGGTTGGTGCGAAGAAGGTTATTGACCAGATGAAGGCGGAGTTGGAGAGGGTTGTGAGCATGAGCAGGGAGTTCTTGGCGGATGAGGTTGAGGAGTCGACCACGCCGACTAGCACACCGCCGAGGGCGGCAGGCCGGACGCCGAAGAAAGTGATGGAGCCGGCGGCGGGTGTGTCAAAGTCGCCGCTTGCGGGCAGGACTGTTGTGAAGAAGGGGCTGCTTTCCGGGGAGTTGGTAAGGAGAGTTTCCGGGAGGAAGAGGAGGAAGTATGACAGCGGGCTGGGGTTCTTGGACGAAGATGAGGTCGATGCATGAGACGGCATAACTTGATGCATGTACACATAGGTCGGGGACGGCGTTTAGGCGCGTGTTCATTCGTTTGCCGCATTGTCTGCGGCGCTTTTCTTTTGTCTGCAAGTTAAAAATAGGCGTTGGAATGCCATGAAACCAAATTTACTCAGTAACGTCTTCGAGACCGTGGGTGAAGAATGCGGCTTGCGTCGGTGGCTACGGCCCCACATCTCCGAGTGACCGGCCGTTCGCCGTTCCGACCGTCCGGGATGCGGGCATAGTCGCCAGCTTTCCTCAGAAAATGGCCCATCTGACGCATGATCTCATTAGACCACTCCTAACCAGATTTTGGTTCAAAATTGGCAGGGGGTTGGAGCATAAACGCTCGCAGCCGTCGCTGTACGACCGTTTTCGTCCCATCACCACAGCATCCACATTTCAACGCTGCAACATCCCGAATCCGTCCTACACCAGCCGCGAGCCTCGACAACGGGTCGTACAATAAAGCCAACCACCCCAACCTCAATTGTTCATTCTCTTTTCTCATAATCATCAGAAAAAAGATTCCAATCTCCTTGAATACAAAAACTTCTTTCATCATGACAAACACAAGCGAAACGCTCCCGGCTCGCCCAGAACCCACGGTCGTAAACGACGCAAGTGGGACTCTTCCAGCTCATCCTGAACCTCCTGTCATTACCGAATCAACCGAAACTCTCCCTGCTCACCCTGAGCCCCCTGTCATAAACGACGCAATGCTGCCCCCAAAACCACAATTCGTGCGCGAGATCGAGCGCACCACACGGGTGTCGCTCCCTCCCAATCCTCCGCCATATTCCCACGCAATCAGCACCGCACCGCCACCATCATGCAATATCCCGGCGCCCCCTAACAACACCTACTTCGCCCAAATTTGCAGACGTGAGCGTGAGAATGCGCTGCCCGTTTACGAATTCGATAAGGAACGCCCAAGAACGATGGATAGTCAGAGGAGCTTTTATGCTCGAAGTTTCAGACAAGAACTGGCTGTCGAGGCGCGCAACCGCCGGCGGAAGTTTGACTGTATCGCTGCGGTTGTTGTCGCGTTAATCTTGATGGGGTGTGCTGGGACTTTGGCTGCTGTTTTGGTATCGACGAGAGACAAATGATGTGTACTGCGTCAGGATGTTGGTGGAGTTACTGGGTGTCTCGAGCTTGTAGTTTTGAGCGAAGCAAGGTGTTTACCAGGAAAGCGTGATGGTATTGGGTATACGAGCAGATATGGGTGTCAAAAGCAGAGCTAAAAAAGCAATAATCACAATCTTCTAACGCTCGCAGCAACTTCCGCTCCTGTTGCTCACAGCACGTACTTGAACAGCGGCGACCTGTCTCCCATCTTGAACAGCTCCTCCTCAGTGTACTTCTCCTTCGCCTCATCCGCAATCCTGGCCTTCTTCGCGTTGGCAATCTTGTAGCTCCACTCAAGAAGCAGAGCAACGATCAGTCCACTGCCGCCGAACGCCAAACTCAGCCCGAAGCCGGTGTGGTACTTTGGCTTCTCGCTCTCGAGATACATGAAGCTTCCGACGATGCCGCCGACGTTTCCGACGCAGTTCATCAGCGCGATACCAATCGCTCGTCGAGACGCCGGGGCGATGTTGTTCGCGTTCCAGGACGCCGCCGCGGCTTGGATGGGGTAGATACCGATCACAGCCAACACAACGGAGAAGTACGCGACACCCCTCTTCTCTTCCAACGCACCGTTCAGCGACAGAATAATAGAGTATCCTACCGCCACGATCGCCAGCGGGATAGCAAGGAACGGCATGCGCCAGAAGAACCGATCGGACACCTTGGCGAAGCTCACGGCAGAGATGGCCGCCGCCACATACGGCGGCGCGCTCAACAACTGCGCCTGCGTGTTCGCGAACCCCATCGCCTTGGTAATAGTCGGCAGCGTGAACTTGATGCCGTACGACAGCGCGCTCTGGCACAGGAGGAAGTACGCCTGCACGTAGATGCGCCAGTTGGTCAGGTTCATCTTGAGGTCGTGCCAGTTGACCTTGCGGTCGGAGTCCTCGTCGCGCGAGCCGCCGCCCTGCTTGATGAAGATGGAGAGCTCGAGGTAGCGGATCTCCTCGGGGTCGAGCCAGCGCGTGGAGAGGGTGGGCGTGTCGATGAGGAGGAAGAAGCAGGCGACGCCGAGGCAGACGGTGGCGAGGCCCTCGAGAATGAAGATCCAGCGCCAGCCTTCGAGGCCGCCGACGCCGTCCATCTCGGCGATGGCGGCGGCGAGGAGGCCGGAGAAGGCGCCTGAGAGGGCGGAGGCGCAGTAGAAGTAAGAGATGCGGACGGAGAGGTCACTGGGCATGTACCTAGTCTGGTGTGAGCGGAGTTGGGTTTTAGGGATGGGGAGGGTTGTGGCTTACCAGTATGAGCAGAGGTAGATGGCACCAGGGAAGAAACCGGCCCTATGGGGGATTGGTTAGCAGATGGACTCTGGGGCGAAGGGGTTGTAAGGTGTTCTTACTCGAAGATTCCAAGGAGAATGCGAGTGACCATCAAGCCGGCGAAGTTACGGACGAGGCCAGTGCAAGTCATGACAATACCCCAGCAGAGGGTGAGGGTGCCGAGGTATGTGGAGGGGCGCTTGACTTTCTTGAGGATGATGTTGCTAGGGACTTCGAAGAGGACGTAGGGGATGAAGACTGTGGCACCATGGTCAGCTAAGTCGAGACAAGACTCCGTCGGGATGCTCACAGATGGATAGAACGGTGTTGTACTGCACGCCCGACATGCCCAAGTCCTCGACCATGCCCTCGATCTTGGCATTTCCGATGTTGGCGCGGTCAATGTGGCAGATGAGATACAACAACGCCAACATGGGAATCAGTCGTTTGTCGACCTGTATCAAGTCAGTATTCGGACAAGGTAACCAGACATCGTCTCATCCTACCTTGTGAAAGACCTTCTTCCGCGACTCCTCGGGGTAGTTGTTGTAAAAGTCCGCATCCTCAGTGCTCAACCCGAACACACGGTATGGTCCGATCTCAATAGCCTCAGGGACCTTTTCGAGATGCGTCTCGCCAGACGGTCTGTGATGAACAGCCTCGACCTCGCTCTTCTCAAGCGAGCTCCTCAGAGCGTTCATAGCCATGTCGACGAAGTGTTCGCGGCGCACACAGAAAGATGACGATACCTCAAAGCACTGAAGTTGGAAGAAACTGACTCGCCAGTCGCGTCACGTCGAAACAAGCTTGCCTCGGTGTTCAAGTGCGCACACAGACCAGAACAAGAATTCTGCCCAAGTTATATCTGGCCAGGACCACCTTATAACCAAAAAGCCCAAAGTCCAAACTGCGGAGAACCCGTTCGTCCCCACCGGCCCCCAAAACCGCGGAGAAGCTCCAAACCACCGCCCATCTCGCGCGGTCGCCCACTAAAACCCCAGATGGATCCAATCCACCCCCGGACTTGGCAGTTTGCGGGGTGCGGGGAAAACGGGTTCGTCTCAGCAAGCAACGCGAGGGAGGCTGGGACCGGTAGAGAGAGGATCTCAATTAGCGGACGGAAAAGGGACGCCCTCCCTCGCCAAGCTTATCCGTGGTCGTATCCGTCATGTCCGTCGCGCGAGTTCAGCGTCGCATTGCAGATGGCGCGTCGAACGATTGGGCGCGTGGCAAGAGATGGTTAGAGATGGGAACGGCCAGGATGAAGGGTTTGTGGGTATCATTTCGCGGCCTGTCAGCCGATGGGTCGGTTTTAGGAGATTGCGCGGTTGCCCATGCAAAAGAGAGGGTCGTCGGTTCAAGAAGCGAACTTCTCGTACTTCACCTTCTCCATCGGAGAGTCGCACTATTTCAAATGCCATGCATTCCATCCATACTGGCAATGCGCATGTCTCACATTCCATCAACACCTTTTCCGCACAGCATATCCCCAGCACCACACGTCGTCGAGATAAGCTCTCGAACCTCACATCCAAGCACAGGCTAGCCACTCACTAGCCCTCCCAGATCGCGCTCTTGGAATTCTTGGATATCTACGACAAGACTTTGGCTAACGGCAAGCGTATCTTGGCGAATGACTCCCCTTCGAATGGCGACGACGGATAAAACGGAAGAAACCCGTCCAGAGGGCACACTGAGGCCGCTTTTCCCGCCATTTTGATTACCCCGCAGGCGTAGGCGACTTGGCGACGTCGGTACGTGGTCGGTAATTTTCCCGCCAAGCACGCCTCCTCGGGGTTTGTTGGAGGCGGTGGTCAGATCAGCTGCCGTGTGAACATGGCGCGATTTGCTCTCGGCTGAGCGGGGGTCGTGGAGTGAGCCGAGCGCGAAATGGGATGGGTTGCTTTTCCGTCTAGTTGTCAAGGTGAAAACGACCTCACATTCGTTGACAAATATCTCAAGATTTGAGATTGTAGCGCAATCACTTTTCTACCCGAAATGTTGAATGGGAAGTAAATGTAGAATGCTCCCTAATGAAAACTACTCTTCACATTGCGACCCATGCTGAAGGCGCATAAGGAATATCTTTATCCTCTCCGGGCTTTCTATTGGTGCGTTTTGGCTCAGGTGTCATTTTGAACCGGTGGCCACTTAGTATCCACAGACGCGGGACTGTAGGGCTGAAGTTTGGTTTGTGTCTATTGAACGTCTCAATCATGAAAGCATACGTCGAGTTGTCCCATCGTGTACTTCATCTTCGAAGGCATTATCCTCCTTTCAGTTCTTTTAGTCAAGATTCAGGTGGATCGGACTGAGCTCCTCAAACTTCAAATCGGTGTTGACCTCTTTACTCAAACAGAAAACAATTATGAGAGGAAGGTCTTGAATCATGTCCAGGAAAACTTAAGGTTTGCTTTAGAAAGGTTTCGTTCTAAATCTGTGGCTGATCTTGTGCTCTTACCTGTTACTTGCCTACATCGCCGCGGTTCGTCGAATGAACGTTGAGTGATCAGAGGCTCGAAGTTGCGCAGAAGTAAAACTGCGCTGAGGCTTACGGCTAGCTTGGAGAGTGGCATGAAGATTTTGAACGGGTCA